CACATATATATACACACTATTGTTTACATTTTCTATCTATCTATCTATCTATCTGTCTGTCTGTCTATCTCTCTGTCTCTCTCTCTCTCTCTTTTGTAACTCAAGGTGGTAAATACACAATGTACAGTCTCTTATTTTCACCACAACCCTGTGAGATGAGTGGAGTTGAGAGAAAGGGACTAGTCACTCAGCTGGATTCCATGCCTCAGGCAGGACTAAAACTCATAATCTCGTGGCTTCTAGCCTGCCGCCTTATCCACTAGACCAAATTTCTTGTTATACAAGAATGTCAACAGGTGTTTAATTTTTCAAGTCAACAGTGCAGATACTTGCTTTCATTACTCTTTCTATATAATCAAAGGCAGGACAGATTTTAGTGACAGCTACAGTCTTGCTTGTTTTATAGGAAAGCAACATATAATGACTTTCAGGTTTGTTCTAATAGCGTGTGAATAGCTCTACAGTTCTGTGGCCTTATCAGTAATAGTCATTGATTTTTTTGTTATTCAGTCGTTAAGTCGTGTTTGATTCTTCCATGGACCACAGCGTGCCAGACTCCCGTCTTCTACTGTCTCCCAGAGTTTGCCCCAGTTCAAGTTCATTGTGTAAATGACACTATCTAATGTGGCTTCCCCTTTTCCTTATCCTTACAACTATAGTCATTGATGTGACATAACAAAGTTCTTCTATCAAATAGCTTCTGCTGTGAAACTGGGCAACGCAAGAAAATCTGCAGTTCTCAAGGCCTTTCCAGTGCAATATTCTAAATCCTTAAATTTAGAAATTATAGCTCTTATGCAATAAGGCTGTCAAAATAGATCAAAATCACAGTAAAAGAAGTATTTTCATACAAATTACAGTCAATTTATCCATAACGTTTCTTATTAAGAAATAAAGTTTCATTTAAGAAAGAAAGGCAACAAATTAAGCCCATTTAGTTTTTCCGCAGATGTCTAACACACCTGTAACGATAGGGAATAAAGCTGCATAGTCTAGTATTCATTTACTCAAAACTCAAATGATCTAGTATACATTTACTCAAAACTCAGGAGGAAGAAACTACAAAGTATACTATCTGTTTCACGATGCATGTATTTAACTTATGAAAATATTTTTTTATCACTGTTTAGGGGATTTATCACTTTCATTTCCCCCTTCTCAAAATTATAGGCTGTACAATGAATACTTTGGGAAGAATGGTTTTGCTGCTTCACTTTTAAAGTGGATTATAATTCCTTACTCCTTGAGTTCTGCCAGAGAAGCCGAAATCCTTATGTCATGGCCCAGTAAATAGAGAGATGTAATTAAATCACTCCACTGGACTAGTTCCCCAAGTGGGCCACCACTGAAGGCATTTTCTGCAATCTTGAATCCAGATTCTTTTGTGAGGAGTCCCAGATGAACAAGGACCTGCAAAAGGAAAACACAATGAGGAACAATTTTGGCACCATCTGTTGAAAATTTCTAGCATGAATTTCCTTTAATATGCATAAGCATAATTTAATGACTCTCTCCTAGACTTTTTGTTCGTGACAAACCTATATATATATATATATATATATATATATATATATA